CGAATCTGATATTTGTTTGAAGTCAAATCAACATTATTCTTGACGAACACTGGGAAATACTAGTCAAAAATAGGGAAGAAAGGATCTCGAGATAGGTGTTAGATAGAAAATGATCCACTAGGCATCGAATTTCAAGTTGAAAATAGTTTCATTTGAAAGAGCATATGAAATTACATATTCCATAAAAAAATCTCGCTGGTACGCTCTTATAAACGATAACTTGTCAAGGGCGAAAAAAGTCATTCTTGATAGCAATACGATCCAACGGGGGCGGTGTTCGCGAGTGATCGATAGAAAAAGTTTTCAATGCTTAAAAGGTTCTTATAGATTCAGGCAGAGAAAAAAATTCTGCGTCGAATGAGCCTATTTTCAATGAATCTAAATGAGATTTCCATGGACTTTTAGGTCAAAAACTGGTTTTTAGGCCTCTCATAAAGTACTTCAGATCTTTCTTATTTCCCTATTAATCTTTAAAAAACATGATATTTGGAATCAGCACACTTAGTTCTATAAAACTGTAAGGACTTCTAAAGGATTTTGGATAAAAAATTTTTTTCGATCCCTGGGAGACCTCATGGGTCGAAAAATCGAATCATGAAAAAGTGTAATATAAACTCGTGAAAAAGAATCAGGGTTCAATGATGATGATGAAGGAGATATTATATCAAATAGCCTTTCTAATACATCACAACAAAATTTTAAAGGATGTCGAATATACGATGGAATAAATCCACAGCAAATGAAAAAGTATTTTCGAATTAATATTGATTCATCAGTGAGATATATTCATACGCAGACAGCCTGCTGGCTGTTAACGATTAAAAGTCGCTTGTCAAATGATCGATTACAACGCGTTCAAGACGATAAGAAAAAAGCATATTCTTTTTGTTCCAAATAGGTTTTTTGTTGTTCGATTCAGTATTATGAAAAAGTTCTAATACTTATTTTTGTTTAAAAACTTGGTTTTTCACACTGTGTGTGTATTTGAAACAAAACATGTTCTTGAATATTGAAAATAAAGTTCTTTTTGTGAATTATTTCTATATGATTGAACTAAATTAATTTATCAAAAAAAGTGCTGAAAAGGTGCTGAGGTGCTGAGAAGGTGCTGAGGTGCTGAAAAGGTGCTGAGGTGCTGAGCAGGTGCTGAGGTGCCAGGGTGCTGGGTACCAGCACTTTCCCCCTTGATTCGAGCATAATGAAGGGTTGTAAGCATTTATGAATTTGAAAGTTAAATTTATTGTCCAAATAGCATAACCGATGGTATATGAGTACAGATGTACAAGACCAGTCCTAGTCCCGGCTATCCGGACCAAAAACTAAAGCATTACCGAGATCGAGACAGGATTGAAACTCAAGTTTATAGTAAAATATTCTATCGTTTTGAGTAGATTATCTTATAAACTATATGAATCGGAACATAATTCAAGAGAGATAACTCAAAAAAGTGCTAGTCATCAACTGAATGAATCAAAAAGAAATGAGTATTGAAGAATTATTTTATATGCGATATGAATAAATTCTGGAATAGTTTTCTCTACACCAGGATCAGAACAATTTGATCGCGTATACATCTTTATATATGACTCATAATAGTCCTTCATAAATTTTGGATCGGATTTTTTTATGACGCACTAATTATCTTTTATATTTCTGCTGATTTTACTGTTCATATTAATATTATGAAAATGGAAACAAAACAAATGCCTAACTTTATCACATAACAAAGCGACTAGAATTGACTTAAACTAAAGAAAATAGATAACGACCATGTCTACACTATGTGATGTAATACTGAATCAGGAAATTTAATTTTTCGTTAATTCAGGATTACATTACATAATGTGGATGTGGCCTAAGAAACTCCTAAAATGGTGCTAAAAAAAATAACACACTTGACTTTTATTTCTAATTAACAGCGAATAAAATAGAACAGTCAGAAAGAGTGAAATGTACACATCCTAGAAATCATCTGTTTTTTTTTATCTGTAAGCAAAAAAATCCAGACAAAAAAAAATATTAAAATTTTTATTTCTAATATAAATTTTTTAAAATTGGTTCACACATTCGAAATTCAATTGAATTCTTATGTCAATGTAGCTTATATTTATTAGTTTTGTTTTATTTCTATTCAATATAATAACCTTTAGTTAGAATAGACTGTTCTGTTGCATACTAATCACATATCAGGTTAGAATATGAATCATTGTTTTATGTAAATATCAAATTACATATCATCGATAAATCCTGTAGATTATTTTCGAAGTAGATGATATGCACATACTGACAGAAATTTGAGCTTGTTTGAAATACTTAGTAAATATAAAAAAGAATAAAACTTCTGATTCAAATACATAGGAAAAAAAAAATTTTAAATATAAAGAAATTATAATATAAAAATTTCAATATGTTTATATGATTGACTGAAGTGTCTTAATAATTGATTTTGATACACATTAGATATACAAAAAAAAAGAGAAGAAGAAAAAAAATCAGACAGAAAGAATTCGTCGTAGTTTGAAAGCTTGCAGTGAGTCATCGAACAATCGTGCCAATATATATCTTATAGGATGTAGGACTGAGTAAATATAATGTTAGCGTAGAAAGAAAAAGATGCCTTATGGTGATATTTCCATCTTTCTTTTTTCTTTCGTAAGTCACTTTCTTTTTTCTTTCCTATCGCCAATAAATCATATTTCGTCCGTTCAGCAAATAGTTCTTTCTATCCTAATATATATGGTTCTTATCTGGCTGAAGAACAATCTGAGGTAGACGAAAAAAGAAAAAGAAACGATGTTAAGATAATGATTTTTTTTTATTTGACTGTTCGGCATTGTTATAAAGCTATATATATCTTCTTCATTCGCTTCTTCGTAGGATGATCGTACTCGATAACATCATATTATATATCTACTATTTTTGTTATTTCAGTTAGAATTTTTTTTTTTATTTTCAAAATGTTTCGTATTCGTTCAAAAAATCCTCATAATTATTATTCAATTCTACGTAATATGCTACAAATATGTTATAATTGTTGTGATAATAAACGACATATTTTATTATTCATACTTTTTCTATTTACAACTCCAATAATGTATTTAATATCTTATACACCGACTGAATCACAAATTATTGACGATACAGATATTTGTTCAAAATTACTTGATATTATTTATAATAGTAAAAAAACTTTATGTAGTGAAAAAGCTAATCTTCGTGGTAATAAACAACGAATTATATCATTATCAATATTTGGTCCAAAAGAAAATCCATTATTTGTTGATGACAAATTTTCTCAATTTATATTTCCATTAATCGATGAAGCTAAATTATTATTTCCAACATGGACTATACGTTTATATTCTGATGAATTAACAATAAATAGATTAGATTTAAAAAATTTATCGCAATTAGCAACCAATATTGATATATGTAATGTTAATCAAATACCAATAATAGGTAATGTTGGAGAATATTTATCTGGAAAATTATGGAGATTTTTACCAGCCCTTGATCCAATGGTTGATTTAGTATCATCACGTGATCTTGATTCACCATTACTACAACGTGAACAAATTATTATTGAGCAATTTATAAATTCATCTTATTTATTTTTAACAATGCGTGATCATCCATTTCATGGAATTCCAATACTTGGAGGTCTATGGACAAGTGCATTATATAGAAATCGTTTACTATTTCTTCGTTTATTTAGTATTTTACTTGATAAAAATAAAGTTCAACAATATTCATTGGTTCATGATCAAAAATTATTAACCGAATTAATATGGCCTAGAATTAAACGTCAAACATTAGCATTTGATTCTTATACATGTCAACAATTTAAAGAAGGACATCAATATCCATTTCCAACACAAAGGTCATCAAGAGATTGTCATTTAGGTTGTGTTAGACCTTGTTGTCAAAATTCATCAAACATTGAATTAATCAAGCCATGTCCTAAAGAATGTAGACCGAAAAATCATCCCGATTGGATTTATTGTTAATTTAGTTTTTTTATTATTAAAAAATATTTTAAGTATTATTTTAAAAAAATTCAATTATTTTTTTCTGATGACTCAATTAGAAAAATTTTTGTAAGAATGTACAAAATAAATATACAATAGTATTATTATAGTTTGAACAAAGAAATCAAATTAAAAAAACTAATTTCTTTTTAAATACTTTTAAAATAAATATTAACATAGAAAAATCTTGTATATGTTCTAATATTTGTTTTATACACTAAAATTTCAAGAAAGTAAATATAAATTTTTGTATTTTATTTAGAAAATGATTCATTAACATTTTGGTACAGATGATTTGATTGTTTATTATCTTAAACTTTGAAATCAATTAACAAAATAGCCAATCATTATGTTCTTTGGGACGACAACTCGACGGGCATTTTTTATATGAAGAAAAATCTAAACTTTGTGTCATTTCGGGTATACAACATGGTTTTGGACAACCAACAAAACATGATGGATGTTGACGTTGACTTGGAAAAGGACGTGTATCTGCTCGATAAATATAACGTGACCAAAAACATGTAAAAGAATCATGTGTAAGAGAATTATGACGTGCCAGAGGCCATATATGATGTTCCAAGAATAATTGATCACCTCCACCTGAATAAGTTTTATAAAATAGATGTCTTTCATTTTCATTATTTGATGGTAAAAGTACACTAGCCATTATTAATCGATCATTAAATGACAGTCGATTTGATGCTACACCCCATAATCCACCGAGCATTGGAATATTATGTAAATGATGATCACGCATTATATGAAATGCATATGTTGTTTTTGATAACCATTCATTAACAGCATTAACTTCACGTTCAAAAATTTCTGAATCAAGATCACGAACCATTGATACACCAACAAGTGGATCGACTAAAATAATTTTATGTTAATTTATTTAATGCGTTTTTTTTCTTATTCTTGAAGAATTTATAAACATTATTTTATTTGAGTTTTCTTTTTCTTTTCCAACTAAGCAATAAAATATATCAAAGCAGAGTAACTCCTCCCCGGAATAGAAAATCACCGAGAACAAACAATGTGTCCGACGTATTTTAATTTCTCGATATATTGGAACTTTAATTAAGATATCTACATTCTCATAGTTTCGAGCAGAAGATTTTAATACATTATTTTTGAATTTTTAAAATTTTACAAAATCGTTTGTGAAATCTGAAAAATCTTTTTAATTAGAAATTACAACAGAAGATTCAAAATCTTCTATTATGGAGAAGGGTTTAATGAATATATCTATTCTTTTATTTTTTTTCAAATGCATTACATTGCCAATTATTGAAGTCTTGAATAAAAAAGATCATGTCACACAACTTGTAGATCAAAGTTTTTTCAAGTTCTTTTATTTGTTTAATTTCAAATCTTTTTCGACCATCATTAGAACATAAATATTAATATAAATTTGATTATCATAACCGTAACCGATAGAGGTATGTTCAGATTTCCGAAAAAAGGAAATTACAGAAATTTCCGAAGCTTCCATCAACTCGATAACTACATAGCAAAGCAAATGAAAATATTTTAGAAATATTGGAAAGTTTAGAAATTTTGGAATTTTCTGTAATTTCGGAAATTATATAATTTTGGAAAGTACCAAACAATTTAGAACACAAGTGCTTGAAATTTCCAAAACTTCCGAAATTTCCTTTTTCGGAAGTCTGAACACTGCTGAACCGATAGATGTTAATCATTATGTCATGACCATTCATAATCTGGAAATAAAATGATTTCACTATGTTTGAATAGCTGCTAACCTATCCATGTAATTATAAATAAATAAATCAGCATAGGTATTTTTTGTTTTTATTTAAATATATAAATGAAATAAATGCAATTTACAAATGATCGTTGTCTAACGATTAACATCTATAAATTGTAATTATGATAATCAATTTTATATTAATATTTATACTCGCATAAGCATCGATAAAGACAGAAAATTAAATAAATAAATAAATTTGAAGAAACTCGTTCAAAGCTGCGTTTATTTTCATTGGCATATGCATATATTTAATAAAATAAGCTCTGGTAATAAATCATTGACAGATGTTAAATGTCTTACACATATCAGACGGTCTTTAAAGAGAAAGAAAAAGGTAGCAAATTTTTTAGCAGAAAATAATAAAATCAAAAAATGAATGAAAATGAATTGCTTAATAACAAAGATAAGGTGTTGTATTAAATATTAATACTAATAACAATCAAATTAGTTCAATTATCAAAAGAATTGATTCAAAATATTAAGAAGAAAAAGAACTATATTCCTTCAATAGTAATTAAATACAAATATTAAATTTTATTGTTCATTCACTTGATTTCATGCAAATGTTTTTTTTCTCTCTAAAATTGATCTTTTTTATTTTCACTTACCAGAAGGTAAAAAACGTTGTACTTTACCAGGTAATATATTTTTTAAATTTCCTAATACAGGTAGATTTTCGACAGAACAAAAGTCAAGATTATCAAATAATTTTTCTAAATTTTCTATATCAGTTTTTCTTTTACTTATTAAATTATAATAATAAACACGTACAACCCATGATGGATAAAATTTTTTAGCTTCATTAACGAATATCTGAAGATAAGACCATGTCAAATTTGTTTTTAATTCAATACGATCATTTGATTCATATGCAGATACACTTAATACATGTTGATTAAATCCTCGTCGAGCTGATCTTTCTGAACAAAATGATTTATTTTCAGCTAATTTTAATAAAGTTCGTATGCGTTCATTATTAATTTCATGTGTAGGTTCAAATGAATGAATAAAAATAAATATAAGAAAAATTAAAAAAATAATACTAATAATAATAGAATACCGTCGACGAAAAATTGATTGCATAGATATTAAATTCATCTATTAAATTCAAATTCGTCTTCTTCATTATTTAAAAAATGAAATCTGATCTCTTATTTATCTATGATGATTATTGTCAAGAAACTTAACTAAACAGAACAGAAATGAAACGAAAAAGTAATGCACATGTGCGCATTGTCTATTTCTTTCTTCAATCCAATACACTATCTACACAGTACATGGCAACAAGAGATTGAATGAAAAATGAGTACTAGGCAACAACAATCTCGGCTTTCTTACGTACGATGACAAATGCCGTTACGCAGACGCAGAGACGACTTCCGTACTGTGAACATAAGAAAAGCGAAAGAAAAAGAATTTTTAATAGTCAAATGTATTGTGCCGAAGGTATTTTGAAAGAAAAGTTAAAAAAAAACAGAAAAAAGAGTACATTTACAGAAAGTGAAAAAAGAATAAGGTGATATTGATCTATCATCCGATTGATATATAACGACCTCTAGTCAAATTAAAATCCTATTGGCGTAAAAACTCTAATCAATCGAATTTTGTGTTAAAAATCAGTATCAAAAGAAATTCATTTTTCATAAATTCTTTTTGATTAATTATCATTATGTCGTCATGGAAAAAATCAAGCAAAGTTGGACAAGTTCAACATCGAGAACGATCTCAAGTAAATTTCATTTTACATAATTAATCAATAAAAACAAATATATAAAAATAAAATTTCATTTTAGCCTTCAGCACGTCATCATTTGGGCTTACTTGAAAAGAAAAAAGATTATAAAGAAAGAGCAATGTAATTAACATAAAAACAAAAAGAAATTTTTCTTTCTAAAATGTCATATTGTTGTTCTTTTGTTTAGTGATTATCAAACAAAAGGAAATGTTATACGTGAGCTTAAGAAAAAAGCTTTGGATAAAAATCCTGAAGAATACTATTTCAATATGATCAATACTAAACTAAAAGTAAATACATATATAGAGATACATATATACAGGATTTCTCAAAATTATACGACATCTCATCAAAGAACCAAGATGTATAATAGCAGATATTGTCCTACAGACCTTTTAATTTTCAAGTATTTTTTATAAAACAATGAAGTCCACTACGATGAACATTTCGACACTCTTTTACTCGTATTTTAGATATATCTTTGTTATTATAATATGTAGTATGTTGCTTTGACTTTATGCAGCACTTTTCATTTATGACATGTTAGGTGACTTTTTTTGCAATGGAAATATATTGAGATCCTGTTTCAATGATGAATACATTAAATTCTAGTGAATAGCTATTGCAACCAAAATCTAGTGATTTTCTTGATAATTTGCTAAAGTATCAGCTGAAAATCTTAACAGACACTCGAGATATAGGCTATTCTTCAACTACATGATTCAACATATGAAATTCTCTTGGCATGATATTTTGCACATATCTCAATACTAAGATGATACCTGTTTGTGACTTTTCTATCATAGCTAGTCCTCAATGAGATCTTCAACATGGTATAAGATAGTAGGGAACGATAAGGTTGTCGAGCTAATTATTACAAGATGCATTGGTATCATAGGATACAAATACCTATAGGGGCAGCTAGCTGCAAGCAATGTGTCTATTACCTTTCCATAAGGTAACCTCGATATCCCCAGCTATCTTATACCATTTTGAAGATCTCATTGAGGGCCAGCTATGATAAAAAATTCACGAACACCTATCATCTTAGTCTTGAGATATGTTCCAATTACTATGGCAAGAGGAATTCATATATTGAACCATCTGGTTGAGAAATGGTCCATATCTCGAGCGTCTGTCAAAATTTTCAGCTGATACTTTAGCAAATTATCAAGAAAATCACTAGATCTCAGTTATAATAGCTATTCGTTAGAATTTAACATATTCATAATTGATATAGGATCTCTATACATCTCCATTGCAAAAAAAAGTCATCTAACATGTCATAACTGAACACTGCTGTATAAAATGAAAGCAAAATACTGCATATTATAATAACAAAAAAAATATCTAAAATACAAGTACAAGATTGTCAAAATGTTCATCGTAGTGAACTTCATCGTTTTATAAGAGTTACTTGAAAATTAAACATCTGTAGGCCGTACATCTGCTCTTATATACTTTGGTCCTTTGATAAGTGTCCTATTGGCGTGTGATGGAAAAGGAACGGCATATATGTCGATCCTTATATTTCTTCATACATATAGTTCCCGAAAGAAAATTTTTTTTTCAATAATTGGTTCGTAATTTTCTTCTCTGTCGGGCTGTATATAATGTATTTTCATCAAATATTCATAAATAGAGTGACTTAAGAAGAAAGAGAGGTACCCTCAAAAATGACTCCGCATTTTTCATACATTTCAAAATAACAGCACAAAATATCAATCACTATATCTCTTTTTT